AGGATTCAAACTTCAGTCGAAACTAGATAACGTGAAAATGCTTGTATTATTCATATACGCTTCACATGCCGGATATTATCAGCTCTTACGGCAATTGTCTTTGGAAACAGTTAGGTCATTATTATAATCATTATTCTGATTCCCAAAATAATTTAAAAATTACTCAAGAAAATGAAAGCAGGTTAACTGAGATCAGAAATATTAACCAGATAACACCATGCTACTACCTGTAAAAAAAAAGTATTATTAAAATATATTTTGGTGTCAATGTAAAAAATTAAAATAGAGACAGACCTTTAAGTTCACACACGGTGAAATATTCCCTATTTTTAGGTTTTTATATAAGGATATATTAAAATTGGTTTTAAGAGTCCAAAGGAATAGAGAGATATCATTTCGTGTTAGAGAATCTCATTTTTGTGTAATTCTCTCAAACAGCACCATCTGCCAAGGTCTGTCCTTGAAGATGGTATCATAGCCCCAGAAATAAACTAACTTCATCTGGTATTTTTTTTTCCAGTGGACTTTGGCACAAATTGTAACAATTTTTTCACCCATAAGCTATCTTTATTTTAAAGTTAGATGTCAAATCCTCAAATCGTTAGACACTTAGCTTTAAATGATAATGAAGCAACCGGTACTTTTATGAGTGGAACTGAAAGTGACCTGGAGGTTGTCTGGTGACCTGGCATCCTGGGAATTTATGAGCCTGCTCTGTGGAGGACACTTGAGTTTTCCCTGCTCAACCTACTGTTGCCGTTCTATAACTGAATATTGAACCAGGAGATACGAACTTGGCACATTTAAACTGCTGATTCTTAAAAGTTAAATGGGAATAAGAAGCTCTAAAATGTTGGAACCAGAAGATTTTGGAACTGAAGAGGAACTTGGAGATTAATCAGTTTGACTTCCTCATTTTAAAAATGAATAAACTGAAAATTTTAATTATTGCAACCCATGTTGATCCATTCTATCTTAGTGGAAAATATGACCAGAGAAGTTAAGTGCTCCTTCCAAGGTTGCAAAGCTTGTGTGTCAGGAAGCTACAATTCCAGCTGCAATCTGTCCGACTCTAAAACTAATTCTCCACTCAAGATATTCTTCTGTCTTTCATAACAATCGTCAGAAGCAAGAATCTGACTCAGAGGAATGCAAGAACAGAGAAGTCTTTAGAAAGGAGACAAAAGAAACCCTGAAACAGTGTAAGATGGACCTTCACAGAACACAGCATGTAAGAAGGGCTTTTCCCTCAAAGTGTAATTCGCAAAATGTTCAAAATACAACTAAATTCAAAGATATGGTGACCATGTGTCAAAGATTTGTTTAACTCATTAGTGATGGAGCCGGCAGAATGGTAAAACTGGTTCAAAGGACATTTGCAGAACAGGGGATTATACAGTCAGCCAGGAAAGCAGTGATGAAACAAATGTGATAAATTTGATTTTTAAAAGCTAGTTCATATCTATGAGACAATAAAACCATAATCTCTGGGTTTATTTTTTCTACTGAAGAATGCAATTAGTTACTACTGGTAAAAATCATTTGTAACTTAACAGTCATCTAACTACACAGAGTTCAAGCCGTCATCAGCAGTAAAGAGTAAATCAAAGGTGTTTTTTTTTTCTCTAAAGAATTAGATCGTCTTTTGGTAAATCTATTAGAGAACACTCCAGAATGATATTGAAATGATACACAGTCATCCTTTTGCTTTATTTCCAAGTTTTGATAACTTTTCTTAGCTGCTTTTTTTTTTTCCCCCAGGGATGAGAGATTGCTCAAGAGAGGAAGTTCAGCAGATCTGTGGACCAGAAATATCTGGGCCCCACACCCAGAGAAAAGTGCAAGTACTTGGAGAAAGCCCAAAGGCTCATCAGAATTTGAAATGATGCCAACTTAGTGTTCTTGGGTCAGAAGTAGCTCGGTTCAGTATGCCTTCCCACACATGGCAAAAAAGATTGAAGCCAAAATCCTGAACCAATCAAGCTAATCAGTTACTAGCTTTTGTTCAGAAACAACACATCTGATCCAATTATACCAACCTTTACTCCAGCACCCTCAGGAAGGCATAATTCAGTAAAAGCGTTCTACAGGAAAGCAGCAATACAGTCTGGGAAACTATTTCCTGGTGGAATGATCATCCACAGGAAAATGTTAAGTTTCTACATAAACGGGCGTATAGCAGACCCTTCCTCAGAGTATAGCCGCCTGGCAGCTATGGGTTTAAGGTTATGCTACTTGACCAACACTTGAGGGAGGGTTACTGTTTGATGCCAGTTAGGTATAGAGCAAAGTCTTCTGATGATGAGCCATACTGGGGATGGGGCTGACCTTCTCATAAAAGCTGAGGAGGCAAGCAAGAATGTGGACAAAAATTTAGAAAAGACCGTGCTCTCTCTTCCCAGAGGTAATCCGCAGGATCAACCTCATGCAGGGCCATCAGTCTGCTCTAAGAGTCATTATGTGTACAATGGAACACCAGCCAACTGGACACTGGCACTTGGTAAAAAGATGTTCTGGGCATCTCCATCCTGTTCTGAGGGCAAATGCATTTTTACTCAGTTTTCATCTTGCTTCTTGCCTCAAAATGTGTTCTTGCACTTGGTCTCTGAGCCCTTGACTTTGATTCCTAAATGAGGCTCTTGGATCTGCTGGCAGATCTGACTTACTCAGTTTAAAAATCATAAAGCTTGAAGGATTCATCAAGAATAAACGTGCCTCTCCATCCTGAAGTCTTTCCATGCTGCCAAGTCACTGTCAGTGTGCAGAATTATTTTTTTGTTTGTTTAAAGTCTCTAATAAATAAAAAAGGGCTGTTCTGTAATAGACATCTGTTTTAATATACTTTTTCTATTCTCTTATACTTGCAAACAATAATTTTAGTCTAATTTTAGTTTTAGAAGTGTTATCCGATTAGTAACTTTGAACAGATAGCGATTAATTTAGAATACGGTGATGTATTAGATTGAGCCATATGAAATTGCCTTTGGTAGGGCGGGTATAGCTCAGTGGTAGAGAACATGCTTAGCATGAAGGAGGTCATGGGTTCGATTTCCAGTACCTCCATTAAATAAAAAATAATAATAAGAATAAGTAAACCTGATTACCACCCCCCTCCCCAAAAAAGAAATTGCTTTTTATGGGTCAAAAACAATTATCAATTTCTTAGAATCCAGCCCAGTAGAATTTACCACCAACCAGACCCAATCTGAACCTTATTCTAGATAATTAAACACAGAACCCCATGGAATTACGTGTGTATATGTGTCTCTCTGTCCGTCTGGAAATATGTGCCTAGGACTTCTAAGAAATACTGATTTCATCTAATAACGTTCCTAGCAATTAAATGAGGTATATGTCTCCTCTCTCTGAATAAAAAAAAAAGAAAAAGAGAAAGAAATTCATTCATTGAAGGAATGAAAAGCTATCTTTTTCCTCTACTTCAGTTGAGACAAAGTCAGAATTTTTCAAATGCAACATAAACCATAAAGTAGAAAAAAAGTCACAAAACCATATCAAATTATAAGTGTAGTCAATTTCTAATGTAGCCTTAAATAAGCTATAAATAATATTTGCTCATGGGAATTAAAATTCCTTGTCCTTTTTCTCATGTTTATCTGGGGACCCTGCCTGGAAAAACTAAATAAATCACTTGTTCTCCATCCATAGTATTTCTCCTTTCCAGATTTCCTTTTCTAAAACCTCCTGTTCCTTTTCCTTATTGTGGGGTGTCACAGAGGCTCCAGGGACCATATATCTTTCTTCCCTCCATTTCAAAGTTAATATGTTCAACTATATTCAACATCTTGTAGTAACCTACTATGAAAATGAATATATGTATGTATATGTATGACTGAAACATTGTGCTGCACACTAGAAATGGACACACTGTAAACTGACTACAGGTCAATAAAAAAAAGTTAATGTGTTCGAAGGAAGTCATTAGATTCATTACTCTCATTACTGTCCATACTGTGTCTTAGAGGAAAAGCAGAAGTAAATGCCAGCTCCAGCGACACGTAACTGTCTATTCAAGAGCTATTCCAAAACTAACGTAACTCTGTACTGCCAGTGGAATTGAGCCCAATAATTGTACATGCTTCTGAAAAGCAGACTGACAGTCGAAAGTCTATTTTAGCTTCTCAGTGACTCCTTACTATGAATGTGCCATTCTCTATACTAACTAGGAAAGACGAATACCTGTTGCTGAAAGTATGCAATGTAAAGGCTAACGAGTTTGAGGATCTGAGATCACGGATCGAGCTCCATCAGTGCCCTAGTAAACGCTGAACATTGATTAGCAGTAAAGACAGGCGCACGCCTGAAACTTGATAGAGCAGGACACAGACCAACCACAGGCAATCATACAAGATCTGAATATGAGGGCAGTATCGTGCAGTATAATTTGAGGGACAAATTTAGGTTCCCAGCTCGTACACTCAATGTAAAAAATATCCGCATATAGTCTCTTTCCCCCTGGATTTTTTTTTTTTTAGGTCTTAGGAGAAAATGGACTCTCCCTAGAGATTTAATGTATCTAATTTCTTTTGAATATAAATATTAGTTTAACTCAAAAATGGTCTCCTTGTTTCTTTAACACAGTGAGAAAAAAATTAAGAAATATGACAAATCATCTAAGAAGAGCTGATATGTTTACAAGATCTTCCTTCTGAAGGGGCAATTGTAAACTAATTTAAAATTTTAATAAAACATATGCACTTTATCTCAAAGGAGACAGAGCCTCCTACTCTGTTCATGCTCAATGTAGATACCTGCAAAACATAGAAGAGTTTGAAAATGTTTTTGAGAAAACAATTAATTCTTGTTCTTCTCTCTTTTTGTACTGGCCGATGTCCCACCTCTTCCTTGGCATCTTACCCAGTAACTGTTGTCTCACAGCGGGCGTTCTGCCAGCGGGAGAATCCTCCGGAGCCCCTATTCTAGAATTACTATGGTTTGGTTCTTCCCATAATTCTTGTGTATATTGCTTAAAATGTTCTTGGTATCACACTCCGAAAAGTGATTCCCTAGCTTAAACAGAAGAAAGATTTTATTGAAAGGGTCCGGGGGGGTATCTCACAGACTTGAAGACAGAACTAAACACTCCAGACTTGGTAAGTTAAGGAAGCGGGGCAGCTGAAGGTATCGCCGCAGCTGGAGTTTAGGTACCTTCTCTCAATTATCACGTGGCCGGTCAAAGAGAAAAACGAGTCACCGTGCAACTGAAAAAGAAACGTAGATTGGGAGAAAATAGGCTGAAAAATGGAATTTTTATGGACAGGATAGAGAATAATGAGTTCCTTCATTATATGTATCTATTCTTAAATGAATATGTATTGTATAATTTTAGGAGTTTGAAAGTAAAACATCTCTCAGTCGTGGGATTATGCCAAGAATGACATCTTTGAATACATTATCCATAGTGTTCATTAACAGTGGCGGGTAATGACCCAATGTTCTCCTAAAGAGACAGGAAAGCCATTCACTCCTCTGTAAGGTGTTGATTCTCTGCAGCTTTTGCGTCTGAAATTGGCAGAAATTTCACTGCCCCAGGAAAAGTCCAGTCTCCCCTCTCTGCCCCGCTTTCCTCCTGCAAAAAGAACTGAATCCTTTAAATGCTCTGTTTCTTTTCTATTATTTTGCTACCTTTTCCATGCAGTTCCCACAGGAACTCAGTTCTAGAAGACCCTGTTCTTTCTCCAACACTGTTTTGTTGGATCGTGAGGACAGGGGATGTTATTGCCTTCTGTGGACAGGAAAGGGAATTACGACTGTCTCAACAGGAAAATCAAATTTTACAGTGGGGAATATTGGTCAGAGAACAGCACAGAGAAGAAACAGCCCTCAGTTTTTAATGCGATTCAAATCTGATGGCAGGGAAGAGATATTCTCCATCCATCCTAAAAGGAAAGCGCAGGATGTAAACAGTATATACAAGCTAACCCCATTTGTGAACATATATTTATGTATTTTTATTACCATCTTCGATTTGGGTCACCCCCAATGTTTTTTTCTTTTTGCTAATCAGGGTTTCCTGCTTTGTTTTGTTGCTTTTCCTGAAATAAACTTGTGGCATTTTAAGCATTAAAAAGGTAAAAAGTTAACTGCAGGTGGGTTACACATTGGCAGGAAGAGACCACATACACACAAACCCCCTGCTGTATTTTCCCAATTTACCAGCCAAGATTTCAGAAATCATGGAAGCAAAGTAGCTGCTTTGAGTAGAAACAGATGCCGCTGACCTTGGCCTGGCTTTTCCCTCACCCCTGGGTTCCCTACAGGGTATGCAGCTGGCCTGCGACATTTGCTGGCCAGAGGAAATCCTAAAAGAGCTGGGGAGGAATAAAAAGAATCAAATTCTTGCTGTGCCACTGTCACACTTGATGTGACGCTGATCGTTAGTTTGGTCCTAGGACATAGTTCAGAAAGCCATTTCCCTCAGTAACTCTGCAACGGATTCCAGCAGCTCCCTTAAGTTCACGGTGGTCATTTACAAATATATATAATATCTTTAAACCTGCCATTATCCTAGTCAGTATAAGTGTTCCATTAACCTCAGAGTACGTGCACAATACGGTCCTAGATAAAACGGGGCCGGGGGCCACCAACCTTGCCACGCATCCATCCATAAACCTGCTCTTGTGTCCCCTTTTAAGGGTTTTAGGCTCTGAGTAATCACTACCCACAGTGGAAGCTCAGATTCCCCTTCATCCAGCATGTTTCCTGACCTTCCTCTTTCTTCTAGCGTTCCATTCCTTTTGTGTTGTTCAGCCCCTTTAAGGGGACCCAGCTGGATTCTAAGACGTCAGCCTTCCCTCGAAGACAGAGCTGTGCTTGCCTGCCCCGCACTCAGCCGACCGTGGTTTTCTTTCATCCCAGAGTAAGTGGATGGTAGTGATTGACAGGAGACTGAAGGTGAAAATATGGCTGCCCATCTAATACAGGGAAAAAAAAATAGCCTTGAACTAATTCTTAGTGGTTAAAGATAAACCACCAAAGTAATTGGGTACCTCAAAAGCGATGCCACCAAAAGTGTGCTGCAGCTTCTTATTTTGGAAAAATTTTTGAAATGAGCACTATGATCCCCCTTTGGTAAAATAATGAAAAATTACTACCTTTTTGCCCATCTGCGTTTTCTATTTTTTTTCTTAAATAAATCCATATTCCTTCCACCATCTTGAAAGTCTAAAAAGTAAAATCATAGCTTCGAAAATGAATTGGACTATCAACCCTATCATTGCCAAACACAAGTTATTTCTAAACACCTTTATTAAACGTATGGCTATGTGCACAGTGCTTGGAAAGTACACCCTGCCATAGGAATGCCCAGCACCATCTACACCAGGTGTCGTGAGGACCGGGGCAAGGAACGAAGCAGTGACTCTGCCATGTGCTCCTATAAAGTATCTTGCTTTTCCTCATTTTTTAAAATTCCCAGTAAAAGTAAAGTAACCCTTATGACCAAACAGAAAGCCTCTGCTCCCTTTTTATTTCTAACGTGGCAAGATCTTCTCCCCATCATCCCCGGTTTCAAGTACTCAATTCTTTCTGACATTTTGTCTTTAGTTCCCTGCAGTTACAGCTGGGTTTTTTTTTTTCTCCCCTCTAGCTTCTGCCTGCCCCTTTAGGTGGTCCCATTCTTTCTCTAATTATGTGGAACCAATGCACTTTCCTGGATTCTGAAGGCACATTGAATGGCAGTGACTGACCAGAGGGGACATGAAGGGGACATGTGCCTGCTTCCTCGAGCCAGAAAATGTCTTCATCTCATTAGCTGACGTTAGAATTGAGAGCAAGACGAGGCCTCGCCGAATCCGAGTGCACATCCCCAGAACTACACTACTGCAAATATATTTATAGATTACTAATATGGGAAAAGCCAGGACACCAATAGTATGAATTTATCATGCCGGTTTTATAAAAAGAGATACTTACATGCCTTTTTAAGTGAAGAGACATAATTAATAGATTTATTTCATTTTTATTATCTCCATTTTCTAATTGTTCTCAAATGAACGTGGAGTATGGATGGTTTTACGGTTTTGATGGTGAACTATTACCTCTGAAACGGAGCACACCGTATCTGGTTATGATAAAAATCACAGATAGTTTGTTGAACAGATCATCACCAGCAAATGTTCGTTAACCTCAGGTTGCTGGTTCCTGGTACCACCTGGGTGCCTGGGTGTCAGGGCAGTGAGGTCTGGAAATTTCGTGCTCAAAGCTCCTCTCGACTTCCCTCTCCTTGGCTTTCAAAATTTCCAGGTCAAGTACCTCTACCACCACAGTGCAACCCCAGACTTCCTGTTTCTATCTCTTTTTCTCCTATAACAAAACCAAACTCTCTCTTCCTGGTTCTCCATTTCCTCTTGTGTTTCCCCTACTGTTTCCAGACAGATCCACTATTATTTTTAAATGTCAGCATGTCCCTTTAGGTGAGACCCAGTGCGGTCTGCCTCCTGTAAGGCCAGCGTTGTCTGACCCTAGGATAAAGTGAACAGGAGTGCCTGCTTTGGACCAGAAACTGAATTGCTCCCCCGATTTTCCCTTCCAGGAAAAAAAAGTCTTAAGATGATTAAGTTTGTTTACAGCAGAACATAAAGGAAAAACGGTACCACATTAGTAGATAATTCTAACCAGATGCCTCTGAAATACAGTCACAGTTCATTGATTAGAGGAAAAAGCAGAACACAAACTATTCTCATCAAAAAAGTGAGTTCATGTTTTATCAAGAGAAATATCAACAATGCTATCTAATTTCTGGAGAAATGAATTAATTTCCTCTTTATGTTCCTCTCTGTTTCATAACTTCCTCAAACCAACTTGAATTCTTTTATAATTTTTAGTATTCTAAAGAAAGACTATTACCTGCAGCATTTCAGGTGACCATACATGGAGGAGAGCACGCCTTCTCCTGCGCTTACCGTGTGCTCCGTTTTATTTAGGCAACAGTATGAACTTAACAGGATCCAGGCAGCCACACAGAGCTGGGCAAATGCAGTCATTCCTGGCCTGGCTTTTTCCTCAGGCCTGGCTTCTCCATGAGACTGGTGGTCCCTCTGATCAGCATTGGGAAAACAGCTAAATTTTTATTATCAAGAAGACAAGAGATAACCAATGTTATCGAGGATGGGCAGAAAAGAGAACCCTTGGACACTGTTGGTAGGAAAGTAAACTAGTGCAGCTGCAATAGAAAACAGTATGAGGTTCCTTGAGAAACTAAAAATAGAACCACCATATGGTCCAGAAATCCCGCTGCTGGGGAAGAGCCAAAGGAAACAAAATCAGTGTATCTGTACTCCCGTGTTCATTGCAGCATTACTCACAACAGCCAACATAGTCGAAATTGGAGGGCATTACACTAAGTGAAACGTCAGGCAAACAAAAACCAAATATTGTATACCACTTATAGATGGAATATGGAAAAAAAAAGTAGAATCCATAAAAACAAAAAGTAGAATGGTGATTGCCAAGGTCCGGAGGGTGGAAGGAATGGGGAGATGTGGATAAAGTTATAAACTTACATTTATAAGATGAATAAGGACTGAGGATTTAATGTATCATGTGGTGACTATAGTTAAAATTTGCTAAGAGACCAGATTTTAGGCATTCTCACCCCAAACAGGGGATAACTGTGAGGTGATGGATGTGTTAATTAACTTGATCGACATGATCATTTCACAATGTATACGTGTAGCAAATCATCACTTTGCACACTATAGAAATCGTCCCTCAGTATCCCCGGGGGACTTGGTTTCAGGAAGTGCCAGTGGTACCAAAATCTGTGTAAGTTCGAGTCCCACTGCAGGCCCTCCACATTCACAGATGTGAAATTGTGGGTACAGCAGCAGGACAATGTATATTGAAAAAAATCCATGTATAACCGGACCTGTTCTCAGTGCAAACCTATGTTGTTCAAGGGTCAACCAAATACATGTTTGTCAACTATACCTCAGTAAAACTGGGATGGGGCAGAAAACAGCTAAATTCTTAGTATGCCACTGCCTTTCACATACAGGCATAAATTACCATTCATACTAAAAACAAATAATCCATGTATTTTTAACATTAGTTACAAGAC